GGTTAACTTTTAATCCTCGGCCCTGACCTCAAAACAAAAAGCCACGACAATTTCTCAACGTGATGCGACAATGGTAATCAGGAATCATAGAGATATACAAAGAGCAGCTTTTTTTGTAGTAAGAACTATTCAAAGTTCGTCGATATCATAAATGACGAAATACTCACCTTTGGTTTGGTAACGTTTCGTCATGTAGTCCCATCTTTAAGCCATTCACTTTTCAATCCTACAATATAAAATATAATGTTATTTCAAGTCGTCAACAACACTATTTCAAGTCCTATTATAACAACATATGATCACATGGCAATTGGTTTGTTGTAAAATGCCAAGTACCTTTTGTTACAGTTACAAGCTTTAAGTCGACGATTGATAGGTAGAACGGGTAATAAATCAGTGCTTTTTATCTCAAATGATAAACACTAAATGTACGCTCTCCAGAGTTCATAATCTAAAATACACTCTTTTTTATAGGAATATATTTTTTCAAGAAAATAGAGGCTGAAATTTTAAAAAGAATATAATTTTGTGCGTGAAAGATTTGTAAATGCAATAATGGGTTTTTAACTAAACCGTGCCAAAACTAGCCAAAAACAACAAAAACAGCTAACAACATTTCTGCATGACGCTGTGTGTGTAGTATCAGGCTAAATTGCCTGCAGTCTGGTTCCAAAATCACTTTATTTTAACGGAATCTAAACACCAAACACTTGTGATTGCCACTTGTCATACGCAGCATAATCTAAGAATATTTACAAGAATATTTTAAGCCTAAAATCGACAGAAAAACAAGAATGTACAGCCTGGGTCGGAAAAACAATATTCTTGTATGAAAAGTGTAACGGATTGTACACCGATTGCAGGCGATGCTGCGTACTTAAATGTTAACTATGGACCTTAAGAAGTCTTCAAAGCGATTCAATTATCCTCTCTTTCAAAAAATGAACGAAGCTGTCTAACTCGTGAGGATTTTGGTTTATCGATTGCTCTTCTCCTAAACTTTTCTGCGCCTGCAGGCTATGCTAATTAAAGAGTAGTACAGATCTTCACTAAGCAAAATGAACAACTTCCATAGCGAAAGCATATACATTGCAGAGACAAACTAAACAACTGAGAACTAAAGAAGAACAAATATGAACTAATTTAATAGTGATTTCTGTAATTTTACCAACCTGAGAAACATTCTACGAAGAAGCAACAGCGATATTCGGAAAGAACACGCTCGACTTGGCCACCATTATTCAGCACGTGTCTTGCATCTCCACCAAACCATCAGTTCTGGACGAATACACGGTTGCTCCCGGCCATGGTTTCGTCTAATTCAGTGCCTCGTAAAGGATTATGTCCGCCCTCTTGTATTAACTTCATGTACCCGTTTTACCAGCTTAATGGTGGAATTTTGTTGCTTTTCAGATATAAAGGGAACAAGAACCGACGAAGGCTGCGACAAATTGAACTTGCGATGAATAATAATTACCTTAGCGCGCGCTCTTGGAATCATTTGTAATTCAAATTTGTAAGGGAGATTTTTAAAGCGAGTAGCACTGGGTTCCAGAATAGTTTCGCGCCAAATTTAAACAGGCGCATTTCCAAACTTGTCTCATATTTTGTAAAGGAGCTCATTCACGGTAGTTTGAGTTATTTTGGAACAAATTACTTATAATATTAAAGGAAACCCGACGATTACGGCAGAAGGCAAACGGCAAAGATTACCTCTGACGGACGGCAAAAATTTTATTTTTGCCGTTTGCCGTAAACGTCATGCTCAGAACATCTCCAATAATTTACTAAGATAGAAAAACATCAAAGAGATGCTAATAAACCATAAAGAGACAAGGATGGTTAAGGATTGAGAAGATTAACACGGATTACAAACGATGAACTTGAAATATTTAGGCTAAGCTCTTGAAGATGCGCAAACTGTTACATAGCTCCTTTAAAGGAGCTAGGGTCCTCAGTCGATAGGCTTAAAAGGATTTTCAAAATGTCGGCCACTATGATGGAAAAAAAAAAAAAGACTTTGGTAAACTGAGGGAGGAGAAGATTTATCTCACTTCTTACATAAGGTTCTAACAAAAGCGTTGCAAGTTAAAAGAAAAGGTTGTCTCCTGAGAAGTAGGTCGAAACTAAAACAGCTGGGATGGATTTGTTTGTTTAGTAGAAAGAAGCGAATTTTAATTTGTGCAACCTACACTGTCGTAAACTCCCCTATATAGGCTCCGGGGGGTACTCCCAGAAAAGTTGAGTAGGGGTGTGCAGCCCACTTCCCAAAACCCTTACCCTATTTATGACCAAAATCTGCGATTTTTGCTACCCTATTGATGACCTGGCCAAAACTTCGATACCCTATTTATGACCTTTGTAGTTGGCACAGTTTCCCTAAACATAAGTTATGAAGGGCTTTTGTTGACGGTCTTATTGATAATGATAAAAAGTAGCTTCTTCTAAGAAACATACCCAATCCAAGACTAAAGTACTAAATCATACCCTGTTTAAGACCAAAATGGCCAAAATCGATACCCTATTTATGACCAAAGCGGCTGAAAACCATACCCTTTGAGCCCGCACATACCTATATAGCCCATATAAGGGAGTACCCCCCCCCCCCAACCGGGTATAAGCTTTAAAGGTATTCGGGGCGTCAAAGAGTATGATTTTCTAAACGTTTTAGTCTGAAATAGAGTATAAATTATGGCTGTTTTGGTCTGACGTAGGGAATGTTTTGTTCATTCTCGTCAGCAACAAGGTACAATCCTTGAACGAAACTTCTTTTATCGTTGTTATTATTCATCTCCTGTAAACTGCGATTTCACTGATGGTGGGAATTTTAACTGAGCCCTTTCTAAATGTTTTCGCCAACCGACGCGGTTCCCGGGTAGGGTCCGGTCTGAGAAAGGATATCAAATGTTAGACCAGGTCGGAAACTCGAACGCCTGACAAAGACTGTAAAAGAGTTTCTAGAGGTTTAATTTGTCCCCGGGGGCATCATTATCAACGCCTACTACTTAAGTCTGCTTACATGAAGGGTGTAGTTACAGCATTTATTTTACCTCGACGTCTCATAGGACCGTCAAGAAAGGGTTTTGACCGAGTGGCAATTCCCTGTAAGATGATTCCATAGCTGTAGACATCAGCTTTCTGTGACGATCCTTCCCGCTCCGCCTTACTCAGGTTGATATGCTCTGGAGCTGTCCATAGTAGATCTATCAGTGACAATGGTAGCATAAGCAGCAAGTTTTAGTACCTTTCTCTCGTTAGGGTTTTTCAAGGGTAAGGTAAAGTAAAACAAAGCTCCAAGTGTCCCATACCGGCGGAACGCATCCCGCTTTCTTGTAGCAGTAAGCGGAAAGGTCGAGCATTTCTACTCTCCCTGAATAAGATGCTAGTCCATCGCAGGGTTACACCCAGAGCATCGAAATTTGGCGTACCCATTTATACACCTGGGAGGAGAGAGGCACTGTGAGAGTAAAGTGTCTTGCCCAAGAACACAACAGAGACAAGGGCACCGCGCCCCCCAACATGAGTGCGTGCAGTTTACTCTGCAGTATTGTAACATCCCCTGATGGGAAGTTAGTCAATCGCGAATAAACCAAGGATTATGTTAGACTTCTCATCAACTTCTCATCTTCACATTTACTCAATTAGGTGTGAAGAAGCACAAAGAGAGCGACCTATCCCGCCCTAGAACACTAGAAGAGTGCAAGATCTCTCTACCTCTCGCTCTTAAGTTTACCGTTGTAGCCATCAACCACTGTAGCAATGGAGTTTGCTGGTTACCAGATACCGAAAAGAAATATTATTTTTATGTCCCTGGAGCAGGGAAGTGGTGTCGGGTTGAGTAAACGTTTTGTAGACTTAGTGGGGCAGTCCTTGCTGGCGTCAACGATATAAAAGTAAGGTTGAATGTTTCGAAATATAGATATTTCAAGCAAGCGTTTTCACGGTGATGGACACAAGTGCCCCCCCCCCCCTGCCTTTCATTTCATAACCAGGGTGGCTCACCAAACAACAAGCTGAAAACGCCCTAGTTCTTGAGGGGATGGGGCGGGGGAGCTGTTTACCTGCGTACATCTTGTTGACGTCACACTCAACCTTTTCCTGTCCAGCCTTAAAATTGTGCAGTCCCCAGTCTGTTATGCTCACCACCCAGTGACTGTCAATCATACAGCGAGAAGAGGCCACGTTACCATGCAGTTTGACAGGGCTGTTGTGCAGATATTTCATGCCCTGGAAAAAAAAGTGAGGAAAGTTTCAACGTTTTTTAACAATGCATTCTTGATATAAAAAGAAACGCTTTTGACCTGTACTATGGAAGTTTGCAATGGGAGAAAACGGCTACTAGTGGCTGAGAATCACTCCCGCGGGGTACTCCCAGAAAAGGTGAATGGGGGTGTGCGGTCCGCTTCCCAAAACCCTTACCCTATTTATGACCAAAATCTGCCATTTTCCCTACCTTTTTATGACCGGACCAAAAATTTGATGCTCTATTTGATACCTGACCATTAAATCAAACCCTGTTTCAGACCTGCATGCGTTATAATAAGTTCCCTTGTTCAGACCAATGTTAAATTACCGTAAACATAATTTGTGAAGGGCTTTTGTTAATTTTCTTTTCGATAATGATGAAAAAGTGGCTTATTCTTAAAATATATACCCATACCCATACCCCATTTATGACCAAAAGGGCTGAACAACCATACCCTTTGGGGCCGTACGCACCTATATAGCTCATATAAGGGAGTACTCCCCCGGGAATCATTGTTGCTTACCGCAGCTATGTCGATTGACATCGACAGCTTGAAAGCATAATCTATCTTGTTCTCGTCATTTGCCAACACATCCTACGAGCAAAAGTCGCATACAGTTTTAACCATAAATTCACCTTACTAAATGTATTAGCTTATGTAAAACAACTAGCTTGAACTAATTAGCGTGTATTTCAACTGTCTCTTCGAGTCAAACGCTCCCGAGAACACGGCTTGTACTACAAATTCATGGGTTTTTCAGGGACATTCCAGGATAAAATTTCAATTTTTCAGAGACTCCATCCTCTAAATAAATCCGAGAGATTATCAATCTTTTGATAAATAGCATTACAATGTGTCACTAAATGTTCAGTTTTAAAAATAACTGCAAGATTTGTTCAAGTCTAAATACCTTTTAAGTTCTCGTACTTCGTAGGAAATTTTTTTTGTCAAGTCGTTTGGCAACTTGCTCCTTTTCCTTCAAATTTCAGTGTTTCCCAAGGACCCAATGTACTTTTCACGTACATTCAAGGCTTTGCATTTGGATTTTCAAATGCTAGGACTGTCAGCAACCAAGAGCCGCCGATGGCATTTATCCGTCTTGTAGTGTTGTTCCCACGTACGTGAAACAACCTTATGCATACGAATACAGCCTGCGAGCAGGTTCCTCGTGGGGAAAAAAGGATGAAGGGAGAAGAGGAAGAAGAGCCTGCCCGCATCGATTAGAATTCTGAATGACGCCTTCAAGAAACCAGCTGATGCAACTCTGAGAGAGTGTCAAAAATCAGTCAATCAGCGCCCTCGGTTATGAAAACATTGTCCACGCGATCTGTGCCACAGTAGACGATACTAGGATAGGGCTTAGAATGGCTAATGCAAAAGTAAATAGGTAAAGGAAGAAAATCTGGGCCGGAAAATTCAAGAAAGTCTGCTCGCAGGAAGACCGAGGCGGACCGAGGTATGGATGCTTTAATAATGAAATTCCCCCACCTATGGTTTTGTAGAAAGAATCTTGGCAATTGAAGCTTCAATGCTAAGCTTTAGTCCAAACCTTAAGCGAAATTCACAGGTGCATACGATGTTAACACCCTGATCTCGTGAAATCCACACACGTTTAGCTTCGTCATTGATTAACCTGAAAATTATATTTGAAATGACTAACACGTCTGATCTACACATTTTCAAAGCGAATTCAAAATTCACGAGGTGGTAGGAAGAACACAATTTTGCCCTAATGGCTCGTGCTGCGCGAACCATCCATATTTTGTTCTGTTAAAACTTGAAAATTTCCAGATTAGTTGGAAGGAACGCGAGCAAATTATTTATTCTCGGGCCCCTCTTCGTAATCGGTCAAAACGAAACATGGGAAACTGATACGAATAGGTGATGACGTAAGCTCATTCAGGGGAAACCCTTCGTTCTTGTTTATTACCTAATCACCAAAATGAAACGCAACTTGCTTATTAACTTAATACGGGAAAGCTCCTTCTTTAGACGGTATCGAGCGACGTGTTTCATTCAGTTACTGTAATGATTCGATTTAGTGCCCTCCTTCCAATAAGCGCCCGGCCCCTTTCGAAGAAACTTACCCCTTCGAATGTGAAGGAGGAAGAGGGGTATCGAAGGGTCCCTTTAAATTTAAAAGTGCTCGGTAAATTTGGCCTTTGGACGAAATGCTCGCAAAAATTTGATGAGTGCTCGTTTGGTCGTGCTCGGAAAATTTTGCAACTGCTCACATGCTCGGATTCTCGTTAAAATGTGCTCGATTCCCGTATGGCAAATTGGGAAACATGCACCTGCTTTGGATGTTTCTGGAAACATGCGTCCCCGCTTTGCTGGCGTTTTATTGAAACTGACGCACGTAAGTGTTCTTCGTGAAAGGCACCCGCAAAGGTAGAAAATAATCTAGAGACAAGAAGACATGAGGAATATTACTGTTACTAAGGTAGAAAGTAATCTAGAGACATGAAGACATGAGGAATATTGCTATTACTATTCCACCTTCAGAGCTTATGAGATCTGTACGGCTTCTTAAATCTTCCAAATGAAGCTTCGTTGTGTTGAATCTCGCGGGAAATCAGTAGTCAAATCATCGAAACCAAAATTCGAAATGCTTGTCAGACTAAATGTCACGGTGTTTACATTTCCCAAGCATTATATAACCCAAACAACCTTCCACGTCACAACACTTCAAAGTCTGGTAGCTTTTAGCTTCTTCTCGTGGTGTGTTCACAATGTCCGGTTAGAGATCTCCTTGAGCGTCCACTCAGTGCAGCCACTGAAGATCACTTGGAACTACACGACATAATTGGCTGTAAGCTGCTGGGATTGGTTGAACCGCGATTGCGCCTATTGCCCTGTTTTGGAGGTGTCAGCCAGATTACTCGGCGCAAAATAACGTTTCCTTTTAATAAAAGAGAGATTCATGCTACGAAGTGCTCGCTGTTCGCGAATGTCAGATAAACTACTCGCGCCATCTCTTTAATTCGATACATATCCTGTATATAAATAAAACAAGACTCCGCAGCCAGTGGAAACCGAAAGCGTATCGGATGGTTCGAAAGTCTGATAACTTGCGCGTCATCGTCATTTTGAAAGAGAGTCCGTTTTAGCTGCTAGAGTCATTCTGATTTGACTTTCTTCTTCCAAAGGTAAGTACAGTAAGGATACCATAATTGTATTTTGAACTAAGGAACCGACGAAAACTGTTTTAAATTTAAGATAAGCTTTACCATGACATGAACACAGAAATTAGTGACATTTATAAATTGCAATTGACCACTGAGAAGTATAAACTCGTCAAGATAACTGACTAATAGGCATTGAGATGTTAGGCATGGTAAAATGTGCCATACATTAAATAAAACTAGAGGAAAATCACAGTAGATGTACTGGAACAGAAATGTAATAGCCCTATCTCCTGGATGGGTGCTAAACGGAAAATTTGTCTTAATAAAAATGAGGGATTTGGATCTCGTTCTCATCAGAAAGCTAGTCAAAGCATGGAATAGAATAATGAACAAGGCCGTGATGATTCTTCTGTTATCTTGCAGACAGAGTCCTTGTTGTGATCCAACGCGCTGTTACAGACTTTTGTATCATTTTTCTTCTCGTTGCGAAAGGGAAATAGTGGTGAGTAACATTTGATTTGATTCAGCTTCCATCTAGCAGTGTTCACCTTGCTTTGGTAAATACCCTAACATACTTCCTGACATATCAATCTTCTTTTATTTTTCATACATACACACTTAATTGAAGCACCCAAGATAGAGGGACTTTTCACGCACAATGAACTTTTAAAAGAAATTTAAAATTTTACAATAGCTAATCACAAGAAATTGAAAGTGATAAAAATATTTACAAGATTACTTCGTAGATTTCCATTAAAAAGATACACTTCTTAAAATTTGTCAACAATTCGCAGTTTAAAAGTCGTTTCTAGGCT